AACAATCTCAATAAATAATATATCGCGACTATCACGGCACATCACTTCACCTATACATGTTCCGGTAACTACCTATAAATAGATGGAAGTTTGACCCGTGTCAAAGGTTGGTAGGCCTATGTGGCTGACGATTCGTTAAGTGGCTGCGGGTTGACGAAAGGGAAAAGCGCGGAGACGAAAGCAGACGACAGAATCTTTCTAGAGAGCAGGAAAGGAGGTGGAAGGAGACGATTTTAGAGAAGAAATTTGTTTTTGGTCGCTTCCCGGATTCGAACCTCGACCTTTGAATGAGAGGCCAACCCTTTGACCTCTAGGCCACGAAAGCCCCCCTTCATAAGACTACCTTAAATATGAATATATATGATATATTGAATTGTGAGAATGTACATTTAATTTTTACATTGGCATTAAAATGGACATCAACGTATGGTTTTGGATACGACTAAAAAAAAATGGGTAAACATTCACTGCCATGTACGTTTCGACTCGTATTTAACCAACCATCGTTTTAAGTTTTGCAGCCTTTCAAAAAAGACTCGAAAGTACAATACATTGATTACCATTGTGAAGTATTGTGTATTTCTACCTATAAGTTATGCATGGATGGAGTGCTTCTTTGTTGAAATGCCTTATTTTTTATTTCTTGAATGGCATACACATGCTCAGAGAAGTTTGATTTTTTACCTTAATTTCAGGGGGGGGGGGTATATTGTAGGGAATTTTGCTGTCTTAGGTGCGGTTTTGGTTTAATTTATTTCCTCATAGGCGAAGAATATTACGACAATGACATTATCAAAAATATCTTATTCTACAAGATGGTTCATTCCTCTCTATGAGTAACTAGGAGAAGCATCCTTAAGACAGCCTGGGAGTTTGAGCGTACTTGGCGCACAGCTGATTATGGGAGAATGAGAAATAAATAGAACAACGTTATTATTTCACTCTCTTTGCAGTCTCGTGCAACAAAAACTTTGTAACTTATAATATTTTGAACTTGGAATGAAATGAAAACGGCGATCATTTTCGACGCTTAATTTACTTTAATTGGCCTTGTGAGGCCATGGTGTCGTAGTTGATAAGAACACCACTGAGCAAAAAGCTGATCGCAGTATGGTGAATTACTCTTTAGATGAATCACAGCATTAAAATTGGTTTTCAAACGAATAAAGCGCTAGTTTTCTTCACGAGAAACGGAAGGAAGCTCCGAGATGTTTGAGCCATGCGAGAGTTTGCGCGGAAGCGGACGCGTTTTTTAAAACAGAGTGTACCATCTTGTTGTATGGAAGTAAAAACTGAAAGGACAAGAGGGACAGAGAGAGAAGGAAAGAAAGAAAAGGAGAAAGAGAGAGAGAGAGAGAGAGACAGACAGACAGACAGACAGACAGACAGACAGACAGACAGACAGACAGACAGAGACGTAGAGAGAGAAAGAGAGAGAGAGAGAGAGAGAGAGAGAGAGAGAGAGGGAGAGAGAGATTTTGAAGTTTCTCTGTGTCAGCGGGTACGACCTACTAACATGATTAATATCTATGGAATGAGAAAACCCTGCTACTCGGTTGCTGAAGATCAAATGCTTTTTTTTATGAACACGAGCCTTTTTAGTCAACAATCATTTTATATCAGACACAGAGAGAAGAGTGCACGGATTATGTTTCAAAAATAAACTGATATAATATAATTTGTTAAAGATTGTGAAAAAAATGCGAATGTACCCAGTAAAATATGAAATGAAATAATATTTATTATTCATTTTGTTAAACTGAAGTCTAGCAAGCATATTATAATGTCTTAGTTTTGCGTTTTTTGCATTATTCGTGTGAGTGTGTGCGTGTATATATATCCATATATTATTATATATATTATGTATATTATATATATACTTATGTACTATACATGTATATTTATGTACTATATATGTGTATATATATATATATATATATATATATATATATATATATATATATATATATATATGTGTGTGTGTGTGTGTGTGTGTGTGTGTGTGTGTGTGTGTGTGTGTGTGTGTGTGTGTGTGTGTTTGTGTTTGCAAGTTGAAATGGTTTGAATAACAAAGCACCATCACAAACTATTCTAACATTACCACGCCGGTGTTCTGATTCCTTTCAGAGAGTGCAAATTCTGCCCAATTCACTTTCCCGCATCAGTCATTGTTCTCGATACCTGAAATCACATCAACGAGTGTCAGTCAAATGTACAATCATCGTCATTTTTCTTTTGTTTTTGTTTTATATATTTGATGTGATGTATTTATTTCTCTCATTCGGAACCAAAATGCTCTTATCAATTCCGGTTTTGCTGCGTAAATGGACTCTCCACAGCGTGGCACTGACGAACGGCCGTATCGGCGAGACGAAAGTCTGACTGGCACTTTCATTCTGGTTGTATCGGGCCTCTCTACCCAGTCCTGCTCTATCGCCTTGATCCGTAGGACTTCCATTAACGCTGGCTGTTTCAACGCGTGATGTAAGCTCTCGTGTTTGGTTCCAATAACGACATTATACCATTATTAAAACAATACAATAGTACAATTCTATTTCACCCCGTCTTCTCTTCGTTTTATTTCACATCTGTTTGACATTAAAGACAAATAAATCATCTTTTGATGAACAAGTGTTATTAGCAGTGTTTGTTGTTTCTTTTTTTGTGCGTTTTTAAACGTCTTAGTTTGAAGTATATTGTTCTTAAAATATACCACAGTTCTATTCTAGGACAAAAATTGATTGTCCTAATATAAAAACCACGTTAAAATAATATACTGACACAAAATGACTTAGATTTCTGTAGATAAGTAAGTTTATGGCCTATGTTCATTTCGTCGTTTCCCTCGAAGCGGCACCCAATATTGTCTCGTTTCCCATCTAGCTTGTTTGTCCAGAAACAAATCATGAGGGATGTTCGTGGTTATTGAATCCGAGACTTGCAGATTATGACCGATTCTTACTACCATTTTACTACTGTCATCCGTATAGCGATGTTTCCGAATGAACGGTTCATTGTTGAGAGAAGTTTCTGTGGTGAGTGTTAGATATCGTACACGGCTGTCGATAAAAAAATAAAATAACTTCCTTGAAAGAGAAAAAAAAACAGTGTAGTAAAAACACGTATCCATAGAACTGAAAGTGTATAAAAGGAGGATCATTAAAGGTAAAACGTAATAAATATATCAAATTAAATAAGCAACCGTAACAACAGATGCATTGAATTAATTGCGTCTCCACTCTATTAACCCTTCTGACACGAGCGCACGCTTTCACGTGGTTTGTGTCAATTTAAGAGGTGCCCCAAGAGAGTTCAGGTACATGGCACTGTATACTCTGCGGGCCAGGGAAAACGCCGGGAATAAAATTGTTCACTGATGTGTGAAATTTAGCACCAGCGCCTTCATTTGATAATTTCGCTTCGCAGCAACGTTTTTATAATGAGCCTTTATTATTCAGACAACGATAGCAAAAGTTCTGTATCCGGTAAACGTATACCTTGAAAAGGGTGGAAACCCCGAAAACCTCGTCTGCATGCTTAGCCAAGAAATGCAAAAGCCGTCTTTTGTTTTCAGTATTTTAAGGACACTTACGAGAGACGAGAAAAAAAACTTAATAGATTTCTCGAAGAACAGATACAATCAACAGGGCCTTGCAGAATTATAAGCATGCAGCATGACCAAAGTCTACTCTTCCAGTTCACATTGTCCTCGAAAATGGAATGTCGAGATTGGCATGTGCCCTTTGAGAGCAACAACCTTATTGGGTTTTGCGCGTGCCCAAGGTCAGTGTGGCCGTGGCGAGAGTGAACACATTATATAAATGACCCCATCTCTGGCCACAGTACTCTCAACTACTTTCCACTATTCACCCTCCCACTCTAATAGGGATACAGGCAATTACAGAATCAGGCCGTGCCCATTTATTTACTTCCCTTGGAGAATCGAGGTTCAAGAGTGTATAAAAGTTGTGTCCAGTAATTAGGATACTTGTCCCACTTGCAAGGAATTAGTCAGGGATCCCAGAACAATTTCTGCGGCTTCGCTCGTGTTGTAGTTTTATTATCTTTCTTCGTTTTCTGTTGGAAGCCAACAGCCTTAAAAACAACACTTCCAGTTGGAAAAGCAAATTGTTAGCGAACTTTGAGATCACTCATCACTTTTATTGTCTTTTCCATGTCTTGTGGGTGGCTGGTGAGCGCCTCTGGAAGGTCCGACTTTTGTTTTCCTCATTTCTGTCATTTCTGTGGGTATGTCTTACTTTTTTACCCAAGCATTGACCATTGCTTTACCGATGTAATTCGTTTTACTCAAACGAACAAAACAATAGGTCATTATCAAATTGTGGACCGTTGAAGGATTTTCTC